GCTTAGAGATACAAACTTGGGAACATTGGCATATAGTAAATGAAGGCAGGAAGTAGCAGTTATCAAGAGAAATAAGTACAGAACAGAAAACGGATGTAAGGGGAAAAAGAAACTGAAAAGTTCAATTATTTTATGATCAGTTAGGAGGAAGGAGAAAAACGATGAGTGTACAGTCTTGTAGAAGCCAAGGGAAAATATGGCGAGAACATCCCATTTGTGCTGATCCCGGTAAACCACATTCTGTAGAGTAGTTTTACTTTTCACTCAAAATTTATACATTATGATTTATTTACCAGTAATTGTGGGCATACTCTTGAAAGACATCATCTTCAGTGCATGAATAAAATTAAGTTTCTGAGCCTACAAAGCTTAGGACGGGACTTTGTAAATCAACTAAACGACACCTCGTGAGGACTCGAGATAACTGGCTTTGTCTGGTGACCTCTGTGTCTTTCTTTGAAGCATTTACAGTACTTCCATTTTAAAGTGAGTTATATTAAAATAAACTCTTCTCTTTTTTGCATATCATCAACCTCTGGGGACCTCAGAATGAAAGAGAACATCTGGCTCATTAACAACTTCAACCTCCCCTAAAAGTAGGAATTTTACCTTACACTTCTCAATGGATGGTTATCCAAGCACTGCCAGTACCACACAGCTTTTTTTAGAAATTTCTATATTGAAAGGAAGGATAAAATCTCTTCTCTGGTATTTGAGATATCCTAGAATTCTTTTTTTTTTTTTAGGGCCCTTTGAGAAAAGAAGAACGGCAAACAACTCACAGTTTGAACGCCTTACACATTTTAGGTTTCTCATGTTTGTTGAATGAAAGAATGTAGGAATCAATAAAACAGAGGCCATTTAGTTGATTCTGAAAAGTTCATTATATCTTGTTAGCTTAGTAAGAATTGTTGGAATCATGAGAGTCATTAACATTAGAATCCTTCACTGCAAGTCAACAGGTTATTAATCAAGAAACAGAGGGGTAAACATGTTATTTAGAGATGTGGATGGAACCACGGGGAGAACTGAATTAGAAACAGTAAAAAAAAAAAAAGCTTGCTCTGAGAGTAGGACTTGGGGTGAGCACCCCAGAGGTGGACCCTTATCATTCATAACCTTCCTATATGACTGGGCTTTTAAAACAGTGTGCATGATTCAATGTCTTCATAAATTGTAAGATCATTGTAAAAAACTTTTGAGTAAATTACAAAGTTTGAACTTGAAAACAAAAAGAAAAAGAATCCTTCACTGCAACGTTAAAATCTTTAGGAATAGGTTTGCTATTCATGAACTTATCTCGAACAAAAATTAAACTATGCTAAGTCCCCACACACACTTCTTTCTATCCCACTGGGGTGGACGGTGGGCTTAGAGAGCAAAATATGAGGAGCAGTGCAGTGTGCCGCAGAGAGCATGGCCATGGAAATCAGACGGGCTTAGTTCAAATCCATTTCTACCATCTATTATGTGTCTGATGTTGGGCCATTAAGTTACTCTTTCTGAGTTTCAGTTTCTTCATTTTAAAAATGAAGATAATGCTTAATTGCCAAAGTTACTGTGAAGATTAAGCAGTAGAAAGCATGTAACACAGCAAATGGATGGCAGAATTAGCTTGATGATGGCAGCTATGACTTACATTTGGGCAACTTTTCATAAGACATTTAGCAAGAAAAAAAAGTATTATGTTAACTTTGCTATTTATTTTTAAATAAGAAAGGCCAGGAAAGGATGAAGAGTGAAGAAGAGGGCTGGCCAGTGGCACGATGGTTAAGAACTGGCTTGGGACGTCAGAGGGCCCCGGTTCGGATCCCACATATGAGGGCCGGTGACACTGCCCTCTACAGCTAAGATGCTGAACAACAGCTCAACCTGGGGCTGGGCTGCCG